TTCCCAAAAAAATGACAAAAAATCGCCTTTTTTTAATTTTTTAAATTAAAATGCCTATAACTTTGGACTCAGTCATGATTTTTACATAATTCTTTCACTGCTTGATATATAAACTTGTTGTTAAGCGAATAGAAGAAAATGGCGAAAATCGGGAATATTTGGACCTGCTATTATCAAAAAAAACTAAAGTAAGGACGGTAAAAATTTTAAAATTTTAATTTTCAAATGCGAATATCTCCTAAACTATAAGAGATAATTTACTGCTATGACAACATTTTTTATAGTGCTCGATGAGGAGATTCTATATACGAAATTTTTTTTAAATCGAAACTCAAATGAAGAAATAGGATCGTTTTAAAAATTTAACATAGCCGAGGTGTCCTAATTTGATGACCCCCCGCCGGGCCCCTGGTTGGCCTATAAGGTCCAAATTCAAAACCTAAACTCGACAACACCTCCTCTTTGTGCACACCAAATTTCATTAAAATCGGATTAACCGTTTAGAAGTTACCGAATTATTTCCCTCTTTTTTTTTTCCTATACCACTGTGCGCTGCTCCAAAAACTGTCATTAAAGGTATGATATCACAATTTCAAAAGTATTGCGTGAAGCCTAATATATATATATATGTATATATATATATACATCCCTACATGTCCTACTTTAGAGACCCATAACATATGAACCGAATAAGTTAAGGATCCATAGAGCCATAGAAACCGCATTTTTTCCTTTCCACCTGAAAGTGACTTTGGGCAAAATATTAATTTCTAGCCCAGAGTGCTAAGGTCTAAAAAGTAAAACCTATTTACGTTATTTTTACAAAATGCTCCATTATTAAACTTAGCTGAAGGTCGTAATAGGGTAGAAATTAATTAAAATAAAACCATAATACATATTCTTAATTTTTTTCTTGGTTCGGATACTTAGATATTATGGCTTTAGTTTTATTAATTTCAATCTTCCCTATGTCATCTTAATGTATATATATTTTTTTAATTTTCCGCACAGCCCACCAGTGGAGTTAATACGCCAAGAGGATGGTGGAGATTTGTCATTAGTAAAATAAACCCAAAAGAAATTAAGAAATAAAAACTTATTTCGCTGTTTTATATTTTAATTCATTGAACAAAACCAGATATTCATTGTTTATTTCACATAATTAAAAAAAAAAAAAATAAAAAAAAAAATTAAAACAAATTGTGACTAATTTTTTCTATATTTTAACAACATTTTGCTTTACATCACAGGGATTACTTGTATTTGACGAATGTGCCCATGGGGAAGTTTAGGGGTTTAGTTGAATGTTTTCGTGCTTCAAATTATGCTAACGAAAAAATTATTATGTCTTATTATTATTATTCACTATTATTGACATTCTATCATCAACCAATATATTTTTTCTATTACAAAAATTAAAAAGGTAGCACAAAAAATTCATACAGTGAAATATTTTCACAGCCCTTTGAAAAACAATTATACCCTTATTCTATAACTTTTCGTTCGTTTCTGCAAATGTACTGAAACAAAAGCGTGAACATGACTATTTTGTATTCTATAATAATAATAGTTTTAAAATTTGTTTGTGAATTTGATAATCAATTGAAATTTAACAGATGCATAATCTTTTTAAGTTTAGAACAATTAAAAAAATAATTTGTTCGAAATTTTAAAAAAAGTTTGATGTGGTAAAATATTTTAAATTTTATTTCATACGATAACAAAAATTGTTTGTCAAAATTATTATAATTATTTTTGTTAATTTTTTTAGCTATTCGGGGAAAAAATTGTAAATAAATGTAAAAAATATGCAAAATTATTTGTAAATGTTTCTACACATGGATGTTGGAGTTGTTATGTAAAACTTGAGGAGTTAAAATGTAGAATTTAGTCATTTATGTAATATCATGCCCCCTATTGCTAGTCCGGCAAATTTTACTGCAAATATTTACATGGATGTTAAAGATGTGCAATATTTGAGAATTCTAACGGTAGCTGTAGTAACGAAAAACAACTACTTTTGTAGTAAGAAAATGTTCAAAAACTAGCACCAAATCATTTACTATTACTACTGCTATCTTTAGATTTTGGTAGCAGTAGTTATAGATGTAGCAAAAAAATAAAGAGTTTGATAGCAGTAGTACAGTCATTGGTATTTAAATGTTTCAAAGTAGCAGTTGAATACTTCATATAGTGGCAGTAAATATTTTCCTGAAGTAGCAATAAACGATATTATATTTTTCAACAATAAAAAATTTGGTAGCAACTGCTGCCTAAATAAAGTAGCAATGCTACCTAAATTTTGGTAGCATAAAAAAATTTTATTAAAATACAAAAAAAAAAAAAAAACGACATTCAGAAAAAAGGCACAAGCAGCGGGGAAAATGCTAGGACTTCGATTCGTGGGCCTTCTAAAGACATATTTACATATTATGAAGGTTTCTCATTGCCTTTTCGCAAAAGATATTCTAGGAGGACTTTGTTTCCTCTACTAAAAGGATTCATGCACATTTATCAAAGAATTATGTATCAAATTTTGTATGAAAATTTGCTTTATACAATTTTTATAAGTTCTAATGTATAATTATTAATGTAATTTCCTATAAGGCCATTTTACAAATCCTTCGACGGAAAATCTTCTAAAAAGCCTTTAACGGAAGACCATCTACAGGACTTTTGGGATGTGTTTATTTGTTAGTTTTTTTATTCTATTGCAACTTCAATAATTTGGTAGCAATAGAACGATCAACTAGTAGCAAATATTTCTATTGCTACTTATCAAAAGTACTGCTACAACTTCAGACAATTGTTTGGAGCAGTAGTTAAAGCAATAATATAATATTTTGTAACAATGACTATCACTACAAAAAACCTATTGTTGAAATTAACATATCATTTAGTTACTAACAGAGCACTTTTATGTTAAAAAACATAATATTTTACACAAAATATTTATAGAATACAAATTTATGTTAAGAACGGTAACAGAACGAACGTTCTGTATTGTTGTAGTTGTTTTAACAGTTCGACTGTGGCCGATAGTTCTTTCTGAAGTTGCTCAAGAAGATGGGATATTTTCATGATTTCTTTAGTACGTATTCGATTTCATGCGTTTTAAATAAATTCCTATATTCTAATAAATTTGTCATAAGTGAACGCATGAAAAATTGCATCCAATTCACTGATCTAACTCTACTATAGGAATTTTAATATTTCACTACAATTTGGAATTATCATTGGATTTAAAGGAAACGTGAATGTTATACTAATAAATATTAAAAATAACATTAATTTTATTAGGTTTTTGTATTTAATACTTGTTAAAATTTGTAATATTAAGTCCATTTTAAAATCTTACTAAATAAGAGAAAATCAATTATTAATGTTTTATTTTGTTATCATACATAATTTTTATCAATATCACGCTAGTTTAAATATTAAAAATTAATTCATAGTACCTTCAATAATGCATTTAAAATAAATATAGTGCACCAACGATAATTCGCATGAAAATCATAGAATGTTCATTGGTTATAAGCACTCATTTCAATGTCGTACTATTTTTCCAAATACGAACCCATGCTCGCCAATCCCACGCTAATATTTAAATCATGCATGTTTCAGTTCATTATCAGTTGAACCCATGCATTTACAACTTTTTTTGCACGTCTTTTTTTGCTGAATGAAATGATTGGCCATACAACATGGTAATGAACTGTCAAAACGAATTACGAATGTGTCGTAGAAACGGGTTAATTGGCTATCGGCATTCAGAGGCCGAATTAACCCTTTCCGTGGTTTTGTCGATTATATTCGACATTACAATAGACTCTGTTTTTAAGCATTTTTTGGGTATAATATTTAACTTTAGTTTTAATTTTCTTTTAGATGAAAATGAAGACTTTATTATATTTATAATTGAGATTTTGAAAGATCTTCCGTATTTTAAAAGTATTTTAAAATCAGATTTTAAGAAACTGTCACTTATGACTGCTTTTTAAAAAGTGCTTTTTAACAACGTTTAAAAAACAGCTTCATTTAATGGCCAAAAAAATTGTATTTTAGGAGATCGGACTATGCAGATTTAAATTGTATTGTATTGAAAGAAGTTTAAAAAGACATTTTACAAAAAAAAAAAAAAAATTCATAAAAAATATTGGTAGTACTTTTTGGAGACTGTTTTTCGAATGTCGAATATATTCGACATTTAACTTTGACCTTCTATAACTCACTAGGGAAAACTCAAATTCAAAAAATATTATTTTTCCCGGATTCAGCATACTCAAATTATCTTAAATATAAGTTTTCAAGTTTTTTTCTAGACATAAATTATTTTTGACCCTGAAAGGGTTAAATAATTCAACTGCTCGTGTGAACTTGGTATTAATCTTTCAAACTTTCAGGGATGACAGATAAGACTATGCGACAAAAATAAATAACTGGCAAGTGATATTATTTTTCTGAAAGGTGGATCCGAGTAAAAAAAGAATCTGTTTTTGAAATTTCCCAAACACCTCCAAAATTTTCAGATACGGGTAAAAAACAGGTTTTTCATATCATTAAGCACTTAAAAGTCAGTAACTTAGTTGAATTTCAACCGATTTTAATTTTCTCAACGGATTTAGAAAGTAGAAGCTTTATAATGATGATGTGTGCATTTCATCCCAAACATGTTTTTGATTTTAGTTTTGCACCGTTTTTAAAGTTTGAGAATGTTTTGTCAAAGTATTTTATATAGGAATCGTACTATTTATTAATTAATTATAAGCCCATTTTTATTTAAGAATAAAGCGCAATTTTGTTCGTAGATGTGCCCCTATGGCGCATGATCCCCCTTCTACCCTAAATATAAAAACTATATGTATTTTTCGTGCACACTCCTTATATTTGAATAGTTTGAATAATACAAAAATGATGTAATATATTTGCATACCAAATTTATTGATGTTTAGACAAAATAACTGTTGTACTTTAATGTCTCTTAATTTATTACTTTTTAGGTGCAGTATAAGGAAATTATAAAGTGTATAACATTTCTTCAAAGTATTAAACGTTTAAGATCGTTTAAAATTTGCAGACCCAATAGTGAAATTGGAAAAAACGCTAAAATTTGGTGGAGATATGCAGCGACTTGCCACGGATTTCATTTTCGAAGTAGCGATGAAAAATGGAAAATCGCTAAAGACAACATACGTTATATTAATATATATAAACGTTTACTAATTAATCCAACGGAAAATATATCAAAAGATGATAAACAATTTAAAATGGAAATGGAAAAACTTCGATGTCTTGAAGAACTTAAATTTCTAAGGGAGATTAGTTGTAGAAATGTTTCTGCAAAAGGACTGATAATAAGAAATCGAAACTTGAACCAAGGCAAAGGTATTTTGTATCATTGGTTTCCAAATTGGCTTGGTTGGTATGGAAACACAACGACAAATGATGAAAAATATGAAAAAATTGAGGATGATATTTTGATTGCAATTAAAGAAACAATTGAAAATGACTCATTCTCTAATCGAGATGCATTATTTGCAAATTTCACTTTTGCTCTTTCTGAGGGTAGGATATCTTTGATGTCAGAACAAATGCACAAAAATATGATTGCATTAGAAATGGAGTTCGAAAATCTTATATCATTTATAGAAATCAAACCAAAATTTAGTTCCTATTGCGTAGGAATATCGTTAGGTTCAGTGTGTCTAAATGATAAATTAACAGATATGACTGAATTTCCGTATATAATAAGACCGCAAACTCAAGAAAATCAGAAATCTTTGTATAGTAATTTCATAGGATTTTTTACAAAAAAAGATATCATAGACGGAAATGAACCTTGGTTTCAATTGCAATATGAAAAGAATCCCGCTGAACATAAATCAGATTACAGATTAACAATTAACTCAAAAAGTCTTGATGTTGTTTACAATGAAAATACGTTCAAATGGCTAATAAGCTTTTTCACTAGACCAATAAATGATCTAAAAGTAAATATGTATATGATTTCTGAAAAAGAACATAACGAGTCTCGTTTAAAATTCTTCAAGAACTGGAAAAGTGTGCTTATGGGACAAAAGGTAAATTAATACATAAATAAATCTGTAACTATAATTTTAATTTGGATACTCTACTTTTTATTCAGGATTATAGGAAAAATTGGTCATTTGAAATTGATATTTCTGCGCCTAGAATTATATGTGTCGACAATTTTAAGGATAAAAACTCGTCAGTATTTGTAATAGATTTTGGACGATTTCAGCTTTTTAAAAATGAACGTAATACTGATAGTATTAGTTTATTTAAAAATAATCAAGACGTGGAAAGTGATGACGAACTTTTTATGACGCCGTGTTCAACACCACCGGGATCAAAAGTGAGTCCATCAGATTCGCCAACGACAATTACATCAATCGGTCACGAAACTTCTCACATCTCCAAATTTATTATAAACAAAGACACTGGTTTAGAAAATACTATGTATAGTGAAATGTATGATAAATACATAATAAATCTTACAGATTTACAAGTGCTTGTATGTAAAAACCGAGAATGTGCTTATGTATGTTCTAAAACTTCATCTAGCTTTCATTTGCTAGACAAATTTAATATATCAATTCAGCTAGAAAGGCGAATTGTTAACACAACTGACCCGGAATTTCCTGCGATAACATTATTCGGAAATTTACATAAAATCGTTGCACATGTTAATGAGCAAAAAATATCGGAAAGCTTAAGAATTCTAAATCAAATTACACTGGAGATATGCAAAGCAAAAAATGACTCAGATGTGAATGAACCGTACAATGAAATGAATTTAGATGAAAATAACGAATTTAAGGAAAATACGAATACAACAGTTTTACAGTTTGTAATTGGCCAGATGATTCTAGACGTTCAGTCCAGGGAAAAAAGCATAGCCGAACTGCAAATTATAGGTGCAAAAGCAGGAATAACAAAAAAAAGTGGAGAAATAAGTATCAATATGTCTGTTCATGGATTCTTACTAGTAGATGCCATCCAGTCTTTTGGTCACGATTTTGAGCTACTAATTGCGAGCCATCGACATGTTGAGTAAGTTCCCTTACCTATCTATCTATCTATCTATCTATCTATCTATCTATCTATCTATCTATCTATCTATCTATCTATCTATCTATCTATCTATCTATCTATCTATCTATCTATCTATCTATCTATCTATCTATCTTTATCTTATCTATTAAATAGATTATATTTATAAAAAGGTAAAATTAATGATTAATTAACTATTATTTTAAATTTTTTAATTAATTATTGATTACGATTAAAAATAATCTAAAAATAATCGGGGAATAATTAAAATTAAAGAAAATAATCCAAAAATAGTTGATTATTTTTGAGGAGTAATTTTGATTACTTTGCTAAAAATAATCGCTAGTTTTTCCTAAATATGTTAAAAATGTGTTAATTTAAAATTTTCCGACAAATTATTCCCGAGAATTGTCGGAATGAATTTACCGAACCCTAAACTCTAGTTATGACTCTATGTGTACTTCCATTAAAGTTTTTTCATTCATTTAGTCTGTTTTCTTAGAAAATTGCTAATAACAATTTGGGTGCGCTCAATTATTTTGCAAATTCGTGCGATTTTCGACAGTTTCCAAAATTGTTTAAATTTTGTCATTTTCCTTTTTAATTAATAGCTTACCGCGACCTATTTATTTACAGTGTCTCAAATAAATATTCGAATTTATTATTTTTTATGAATTACTGTGTTATTTTATGATGCTACTTTAAAAAAATTAATAGTATTAAAAATTTTAATGAAATTTTATTAATTTTTATTATTTTTACGAAATACAAGAAAAAAGTAGTAAAAACTCATTAATGGTTTCCAAAAAAATGGAAAAAAAACAAAAAGGGTAATTTCAGGTACTGCGCAAAAATATTCGAATTTTTTCTAAGAACTCTTTTAGAATCCTTGAACATGTGTTTTATTGCCCATTAATTAACCCATTATGCAGGTAGTGGTTATATGGAATATTTAACATTATATTTTTTGGAAAATTGCATAATTATGTTGTAAATCCTTCCTGTGTAAATACATATAGGAAATGTTTGATAGATTCCCATCGACAATATATTTTGTAATTCCACGCATGGAACAAAGAATTCCATCAAGTATTTACCATTATCAAGTCGTCCAAAACTGCTGTCAATACAGGACGACATAGAAATACTGAGGAAATACCGAAGGAACCTTCATCTATCAGCTCCAAAAATTAACAACGAACTCAGGACAGTCCTGTGAATAAAAATTAGTGTCGAAATTGTGCGCAAAGTACTAGGGAGCAATAATATGCATGGTCAAGTACCAAGGTGGAAACCGCTCATATCGAAGTTAATCGATGTTAAGTGTCTCGACTCCGCAAATAGACTCATAAGTAAGAATATTGGATTCTGGAAGGAGGTTATCTTCGACGATGAGAACAAATATAATATTTTTGGCTCAGATGGTCGTCAAATGATAAGGTGAAAGCTTGTAGATGCCTTGGAATTATCTAACTTAAAACCAACTATAAAGAATCTTGCAGCGTGTACTTTGCTAGTGCGTGATATACCAGACAAATCGTAGTGCCACATTAGTTATTTAAAAGAACTAATCACAATATCTATTCACATGTTCTCTTATAAGTTTGCCAGGCAAACACTCAGTGGTTATCATGGGTCAGTGAATAGATATGAACGAAGATAAATTTCAAGAAAACATTGTAGTATTGTTAAGAGATTATACTATAATCTCTCCAGTGCACAGTGTCACAAGTATGTGCACTTCGGCCCAAATTATTAACTCTAGCAACTCATTGTGTAATTTTTAAATCATTACAAACATTTTATTTCATATAATTCATCATATAAAAATACTTAAGAATAATTTTAGTTTTGTTAATTAGATTTAAGAGTATGTTATGTAAATTACATTAAGTTAAATTTTGTTTCAATTCATTTTTCTTATTTTAACTTACATTTATACATATACTTTACTTATCGTGGTTTGTTGTTGTTGTATTTTTAATAGTTGTAGAGTAGAGCAATCATCAGGGAACAAATAATTAAACGGCCTATACCATGCAGTTTCTGTATATATAAAAATATCCGTTTTTATGACCTCTTCTATCGATTAATTGTTTAGGCTGTTTAGATAACTATAACTATCATTGCTTATATTCAGCAAACACCGAGTTTCCTCGGTAATAATTTATATAAAATAAGAAATATGAACTTTCTTTTTCATATGACACCATAAATTTACTTTAATAAATTTTAACAAGTAATTATAAACAATTAAATGCACTTTACACTACAATCTGTCATATTTTGGGGCTCTGTGTCCGTCCACGGTGTTGGACTGTTAAAATTCATTATAGTAACTATAGACTAGAAGGTCCACTTGTCAATTTTAGAGCAGAATTTGCATACTAGTACCACCAAAATGGGGCTACAATCCATTCAATTTATTTTTTAATAGAAAAACGTTCCAAAATACACGACCTGGTACGTGAAAATGTTGATCATTTACAACACTAAGTATCTTTCATCAAATTTCAATGGAGTTAATGTCTGGACTTAAACACCATTGAAAATTTGTGGTTATATTTACAAGGACAACTTTTAAATCACTCATTATCCATCAAAACCACCATACGGTTGCTTTGCATACTACTATACAAAATATTAATTTTCTTTAAATCATTTATTTTTACTTCATAATGCTAATCTAAATATGATGTATACAAAAAATTCGAATACTTTTGTGAAGCTATTACTTTTTTTTTTAAAAAAAGCTAAATTAGTTTAAGTAAATTATTTTCTTTACATTTTTTAAAATGTGATATAAAATTTAAGGACTGTCTGGACTACATAATAAATTTATTTATTTATTTATTTTTTCCACAAAATCTATTATAAAATGATGTCTGTTTTCATAATACATTAAATTCGTATACTTATGAGAGACACTGTATATATTGTGTACATTCACAGACACTTGAATATGAAGGGATTTTACTGCCTGCAGTGAACAGATTTTATTCTGAATGAACGTAATCAAGTGAGCCAAAAAATATTGTTCAAAAACATAGTATATTAAAAAAGTATTAAAAATCAGCTATTAAGTATTGCGCTATTTTTGTCTTACTAGTATATATAAGAAATCATTTTACTATATAAAACATTAATGTAACTAATTACTCTATTAGGTTTTGCAAAAAATGTATTTGAGTGAAAGAAAATATTCAACTGAGCGGTAGTACATTTCATGGCGCTGCGAAAATTGGTCGTAGTAAAAATTTCCCCAAAGTCAAAAACGAAAAATGGCCGCAAAAAATACATAGGTTACAAAAACATGAACTATTTTAATAACTGTTGGTGTTTTTTGAACTTTTCTTTTGGGGCTATTTTTAATTTAGAAGAAATGAAATAGTTCCCCAAAATCGTATAACGAAAGAAGACCTCAATTTGTTTATTTTATTTAGGGGCTACTTATTTCACTGAAAAATTTTATAAAATATATTAAACCTGTACCCCGTTTCTGTAATTTTTAGTAAGAAGTTCTCACATCGACAAGTGTGAAACAAAAAATTCCATTGTTTCTCGATTTGTGAGAAAAAAGTGTTTCTGTAACTCAAGTGAGGAGAGGCAATACGAATTACGTTTTTATTGGAAATTTCAATAAAACAGCTGTCAAAAACATACAAATAAGAAGAAAACAAAAATTGACAAACAATTTTATAAACGAAGATTAAACAAACATAAAATATAGAAATTAAATGAAAAGTGTTCAAAAAATTATCCCAATAAATTCTCCCCTGTAACCGGTTCTGTAAGATAAAAATTCTATGCTACGGTAAAATTACGATGAGATCATGTCATTAATGTGGGGATATTGTGATGCTAAACATCTTCTGTTGAAGTTTGTTGTCAATTTGACTATTCTATCATGGACGAGCTCGATGCCTGCAAGATCATGTAGACGTCGAGTAGAGTAATGCCAAGGAGGATTGAAACCCATTTTAAGTATTTTATTTTGTGCTATTTGAAGGTTTTTTATATGACATTTTGCGGAAGACGACCAAACTGGAGCGCCGTAGAACATAACAGGGTGAAAAATAGATTTAACAATGAGTTTCTTGTTATCAATATTCAGTTGCGAGTTTCTAATAAATAGGGGGTACAGTACCTTAATTAATTTGTTGACCTTATTAATAATGTAAGGTATGTGACAGTAAAAATTTACTTTGGCATCAAGTGTAACACCTAGATATTTGACATTACTTTCCCATGGGATGTGAATATTCATAAAACGTAATGGATACTGGGGAATAAAACTGGCTTTACGCTTCCTGGTAAAATATATTTTTGAGTTTTTTCTGGATTAATCAAAATTTTCCATTTATCAAAATAAGCCTTTAACTCATTAAGAGCAATTTGAAGGTTGGAGATAATGTTAACTGAATATGTGTCCGAGCAAAGAATTGATGTATAATCGGCGAATATTGACATAACGCAATTAGAAAATACTGGAACATCTGCTGTGTATATATTATATAATATTGGTGACAAACAAGAGCTCTGAGGGCAGCCAGCTGAAATATTAATTTGCGTTGACGAAGTTTTACCCAGATATACAGTGAATCAACTAAGTTTTTTACCTACTTTTTTTTAAGAGAATTTTGTTTTTTGTTAATAAATAAAATTCAAAAAAAAAAAAACAGGTAAAAAGTAAATTTATGTTTTTCAATTAAAAAATAGAGATTGTGTAGAATGGGAAAACCAAGAAAAAAATATTAAAATAAAAATGTTGGTGCATTTGTTGTTGCATTTTATTATTTTTCATCAATAAAGTATTTTGCATATTGAAATTTCCAGTTAATTTCGTTGGGTTTTTCAAATTATTTTTTAATTGCTTTTTGGAATTTATTGTTTTATTGTTAAAAGGACACGTGTTAAGTATTTTTCAATTGTAATTTTCAAAAATCATATCCTTATTGTGTGAAACTGTGTAGTTATTTGCTTTAAAAATGTTTAAAGGG